GGTTTAGGGTTTGGGAGTACTAGGCAGATCATGTTGCGTTCTTCTGCCTTTTTCAAAAAGACTTTTGTGAGTTCTTCATCTTTCAATTTGGCCTGTTAAGGACTAGGGTTTAGGGTTTAGGGTTTAGGGTTTAGGGTTTAGGGTTTAGGGTTTAGGGTTTGGGAGTACTAGGCAGATCATGTTGCGTTCTTCTGCCTTTTTCAAAAAGACTTTTGTGAGTTCTTCATCTTTCGCTTTGGCCTCTTGGAGAAGTTTGGAGTAATCTTTTTCTTTTTCGGGTGTACAGACAGCCGCGTCGGGCTGCTTGCTGTCGGAGAGTTCGCGTTTGCTGCAGTCTGCTGCTGCTGCTGCTGCTGCTGCTGCATGCGGCTGCAGCAGGAAGCGCACGGCCACGCGGGAGCGGAACTGCTGCTGCACAGGGGCGCGGAAGAAGCCGCTGCTGCAGTCGCAGTGTCTGTACACCGCAGCGCTCTTGCTGCAGCAAAGTCTGTCCCAGTAATTCAAGTCTCCTGCTGCTGCTAAGTGCTGCAGCACTTTTCCCAAAATGAAAATATTTAAAGAAGGAGGGGTATTTAAGCAGCTGTCTGCTGCCAGAGTCTTGCTGTAGTTCAGCACGGAGGGGCAGAGGGCCCCCTGGCGCGCTGCAGCACAGTCCAGCGCCGGAGTTGGGAACTATTTCTCGAAAAATAAACCAATTTCGACAAAATTAATTCATTTCTTTTGTTATTTTTGCTTTTTTATTTCATTTTGAACCCTTTTTTAACAGCTTTCCCAAAGTTTCCGCCGAATTCGAGGCCAGTTCAAGAAAATTCAAAGTGCAGCTTTCCCGCAGTTCGAATCGCCTTGATTGCACTTCGTTGCATTTCACAATTATTTCAAAAGCTTTGCTCCACTTTTAATTCAATTTATTGTTTATTTCGATTTATTGTTTTGTTATTTATTTATTTATTTATTTATTTATTTATTTATTTATTTATTTATTTATTTATTTATTTATTTATTTTTTAAATTCCTTTCACGAAAAATTCAAAAAAATGCTTTGGAAAAATCCAAATTTCGAAAATTTCACTTTTTTCCGTTCGCAAGAACTTCAAGAAAATGTAATTCGATAGAGAAGTGAAATTCATAAAATGAATAAAGTGAAAACAAAAAAGTGAAGTGGATTTTAAAAATAAATAAATAAATAAATAAATAAATAGATAGATAAATAAATAAATAAATAAAGTGAAATAAAGGAAATAAGGCGGAGGGGTGGAGGCGTGAAATAGGAGAAGAGGAAGCAAAAGAGAAAAAAATGAAAAAAGAAAAATTGGAAATTAAATTTAAAAAATTGAATTGAAAAATAAAATAATTAAATGAAAGAATTGAATTGTATTAATTAAATGAAATAATTGAATTAAAATAATTAAATTTAAGATTTGAATTAAATTAATTAATTAAAGAATTAAATCAATTAAATGAAATGATTGAATTAAATCAAATAAATTAAAGAATTGGATTAAATTAATCAAATTAAAAAGTAAAATAATTAAATGAAAGAATTGAATCAGATTAATTAAATGAAAGAATTACATTCATTAAATGAAAGAATTAAATTAATTAAATGAAAGAATTAGATTGACTAAGCGAAATAATTGAATTTAATTAATTAAATGAAATAATTAAACTGAATTAATTACATGAAACACTTGAATTTAATTAATTAAATGAAGCAATTGAATAAAAGGATGAATAAAATAAATAAACAGAAAAATGAAAAAGGAGAAGAACGAAAAATTCAAAAAGGAAAAAAGACAAAAAATAAGTAAATTAAATCAAATTTAATCAATAAAATGAAAGTAGATTAAATTAAATTAAATTAAATTAAATTAAAATTAAATTAACTAAATTAATTGAATTAAATTAAATCAAATTAAGTTAAATTTAATTAAATTTAATTAATTAAATTAATTTAATTTAATTTAATTTAATTAATTAAATGAAATTAAATTAAATTAACAAAAAAGAGAAAATCAAAAAATAAAAAGAGACGGAGGCGCTGAGGTGTAGGTAAAGGAAAAAGAAAAAAATTATTTTCAAACAAAAAAGAAAAATAAAATAAAACAAATAAAATAAAATAAAATAAAATAAAATAAAATAAAATAAAATAAAATAAATAAAAATAAAACGAAAATAATAAAAATGGAAACAAAAATAAAAAAAATAAAACAAAAATAATCAAAAATATTCTTCAGGGTACTTGGCAAACAAAGGGCACAAAGTTCGGGACAAGAAAGGACAAAAAAAAGAGAAAAATAAAAAATAAAAAATAAATAAAAAAATAAATAAAAATAAAAATAAAAATAAAAATAAAAATAAAAATAAAAATAAATAGAACAAAACACATCAGCCAGAGCAAAAAGCGGAAACGATAATCAACAAATAACGGGAAAAAAATCCTTAAAAAACCCTTAAACCCTAAACCCTAAAGGAAAAAAAATCCTTAAAAAACCCTTAAACCCTAAACCCTAAACCCTAAACCCTAAACCCTAAACCCTAAACCCTAAACCCTCACAAGCTACGCGCTGGTTGAGCGCAACAACAGTCACTCCAGCAATGCCGATGTTCTTCTGCGCTCCAGCTGCAAAGACACCCACAAACACACCTTTGTGAACTGCTGCTGCTGCTGCTCTTGCTGCTGCTGCTGCTGCTCTTGCTGCTGCTGCTGCAAGTCTTGCTGCTGCTGCTGATGCTCTCCGCCCTGCAGCAGCAGCCCTTGAGTGCAGCCAGCGCGCTGCTGAAACCGAGTGAAAACAGCAGCAGCAGCAACAAAAACTGCAGCAGCAGCAGCAACAACAACAACTGCAGCAGCAGCAGCAACAACAACAACTGCAGCAGCAGCAGCAACAACAACTGCAGCAGCAGCAGCAACAACAACTGCAGCAGCAGCAGTAACAACTGCAGCAGCAGCAGTAACAACAACTGCAGCAGCAGCAGCAACAACAACTGCAGCAGCAGCAGCAGCAGCAGCAGCTTGCCGTAGGCGAGGTCAATTTGCTGCCAGTCAATTTGCCTAGTGCCGATGTTGGAAGCAAGATCAGCAACAAGCAGCAAATTGGGCAGCAGCTTTTTGACGGGAGGAGCAGCAGGAAACTCGAGTCCGTGGATGGTTTCGTTTTCGCAGTAGTGCAGGTACGCCGCCTGCAGCAAACCACGAATTAGGGTTTAGGGTTTAGGGTTTAGGGTTTGGGGTTTAGGGGGTGGGGGCGGCTGCACGCAGCAGGGGCTGCGCAGCAGCAGCAGCGAAAGCCAGAAGAGGAAAAGCGAAAGGGCTCTTTTAGGAGGGTTTTGAAAGGGATTTGCGCTAGGGTTTAGGGTTTAGGGTTTAGGGTTTAGGGTTTAGGGTTTAGGGTTTAGGGTTTAGGGTTTGGCTTTTTGCGTCTCGGAAGTGCTGCTGCAGCTGGCAGGACCACACCAGAGACTGCGCTGCTGCAGGAGCAGCGCCCCGACCCTCCCCGCTAAACT